CCACATGTATCCTGAGACTCGGCATGTGATGAGCGTCATGCTCTTGAAACCGTCTGCGTCTCTTTCGAAGTCGTGGAAGTCGATGGCGATCCTTTCTCCTGGCTTATATGCGCTGAGGTCCCGGGGTTTGCGGTACTCGCTGCGTGTTGCCTTTGCCATGGCACATGCATCGCAGTGGGTTTTCGACGGTGGGACATGCTGTTTCTCAGCATCTAGAGCTGCCTTTTGAGCTTCAGTGAGCTCCGCAGGACAGTCTTGGTTTGGTCCCACGCAATCGTCGCCAGGTGCCTCTTCTGATCCAGCCGTCTGAACCGCGGAGTACGCAGCTGCAGGGGCTGGCACAGCTCTTCGTGACGAGGACCTCTTCTTTCGTCGGTTCCGTTTGCGTCGAGTGCCTTGGAGATTGATCATGCGAACTCCCACTGCCGCATTGACAAGGTGGCGTAGTGCGTCTGGTTCAGGGTGTCCGAGCCGCAAGTGCCATCTCTGGGCTGTGGCTGGTGGTGATTGGCGTTGCCTCCAGGACTTAGGACTTCCGGGGTACCGTGGCGAAAATTGCCTCGTTGTGCCGCGGCATACGATATTCCATGACGAATTGACCTTGAATGACCGGTACGGTGCATAGTTCTGTGCCGTCTGGCCTTTTGATGACGGTCGGCTGTCGTTCCGTATCCCAGGAGTAACCCCTGGTAAGGAGTTCGCGAAAGGAGACGAGGTTACACTGCAGTCTGTCGCACCAGGCAACATCATACAGTCGGAAATATCGTCTGGTGCCCTGGGAGGTCTTGACAAGGATGTCGACATCTCCGTATCCCAAGATTGGTAGCCGGCTGTCTCCTGTCCAGATGGCATCTCCAGGTTCAGCCTCTCGAGAGTTGAGGAATCGGTTTCGCTGGTTGAAGATGTGAATTGTTGATCCTGAGTCAAGAATGGCGGAGTAGTAGAGAGGGTAGTCGTTGATTGCGAATGCCGATTTTGTGACTATGAAACTGCCCTTGATCTCGGTGATCTTCCTTAACTGTCAATCCAGCTGCTCTGTGACAGTAACATCCTCCTTCGTCTTTCTCTCCTCGAAACGGGCCTTCCGTAACTTCTTCCTGATCCGCTCGACCTCTTCCTTAAGGCTCGAGTCGGTCCTCAGGGCTTCTTCAACGGCACTCTTGGTCCGCTGGTTGAACCTGAAGCCTTCAAAGGCAGAGTGTGGGAATACATAGAAACAATTGGACAGGGAGTGACTCTCCTGGCCGCATGCCTTGCAACCCTTCCTTGAGCTGTCGGAACTCCGTCTCTTGCTCGTGCCCCTTGGGGG